TCAGGATCTCAATCTGACGGCTTCATCATATTTGACTGATTAGGTCCTAACTGGACTCATAAGTATTAGACCATTGGTCCGAGACCAATATTGCGTCCTCTGGCATGGTGGCAGCTCTCCAAGGTCTTCGGCAGAGGAAGGACTTTTCTCAGCTCCTGAAAACCTGTACCTGAAGATGCAGCCCCAGAACCTGGGGCCTTCTGCTTACAAAGGAGGTGCTGTGCTACTGAGCTGCTCAGAGTCAGACCTTTGGCCGTACCTAGCCCAGCCTTACCTTCTCTATCTGTCTCAGGCAGGGAAAGGGCTTACTCAACACCTAGAGACAGAGCCAAGGACCATCTGCATGCAAAACGGGTTTCTCCACTGCTGTGAAGGGGCAAGGTCCCATTCAGTGTTCCCTCTAAGCTGAGTTAGTGTGAGCCAGTTCACAGTTTTTTAGCCTCCAGCTCACACATTTTTGTCTTAGCTCAGGAAGGACGGCTCCAGAGCAAACTAATTGAGGCAGTTGCCAAATCACTAGCTCACAACTTTAATGCCAGTCGCTCACAAAGAAGAATTTTTGCTCACAAGACTCCACAGCTCAGAGGGAGCATTTATTCTAGAAATAATTTTAGAAATTGCCCTAGTTATTCTGGAATTTAGGAGGAATGAAGGGCAGTGCAAAGTTCTGGAATGAAAAAGGCATGGAACAAAAGATTCATTACTCGCCACTAAACCTATATATGATATACGAATTGGAGGTCAAGTGACCAAGAATCACCTTGAAAAAGAAATGCTTGCTATTTGTCATGATTTGGACAACAGATGTTTCAGAATGCACCTTTTAAGCTCTGGTCCAATGTATGAACATAAGATTTAAGAGGTTTCCTTCCAGTCTCTCTAATTTACGATTCCGTTATGTTCTTAATATTTGCCATAAACCTTTCTTGCAGCTTGTATCATTTACAACTAATATATAATAATAATCATCATCATCATCATCATCATCATCATCATCATCATCATCATCTTTATTGCATTAGCAAGAAAACCATAGAAACTATACAGGATTAAAAACAACAACACACACTTAAAATTATCAAATTTGTATATAGGTCGACAGTTATCAGCAGTAAACTAATTAAACTCAGGGAGATTTGTTTTCTTGATCACCGCGGCTAGAAAGGAAGCCACTATAGCCGTGGTTTGATTGTCAGGGAAGTTATCAGACAATAGCACTGAAACTACCCAAGGAAGGAGGGGAAGCTTTTCTTTTCTCATAACGGGAATGATGTATCTCTCTCTTTCCTTATTCCACTTAGGACAAAAAAGCATTATATGATCCATAGTTTCTATCATCTCTTGTCCACAATCGCAAACATGTTCCGAAAATGGAAGTCCAAAGAAACGACCAGAGAGCACCTTAGAGGGGAAGGAGTTAAGTCTCGCCAAGGTGAACGCTCTGCGTTGTCTTGGGATCTTTAAAGTGTAGCAATATGACAGAATAGCCTCAGGGAGGGGGCAAGACCATATATAGTATTAGTTGTAAATATATGTGTGTGTACACACACACAAGTTCCGCATAGCTTGTCCCTGCTTTTCTTTCAGAAAAAGGCTTTGTCATAATAGTAACTGGCAAGTGCTGGGAACCGTTTCTAAACGTGTTTGGTTAAGAGGGTGTAAAGGGAGCTTCATAAAAGCAGAAACAAGGCAGGCACAACCGCAAAACTTAAAATGGCGGAAATAATTTCAAACTCACTGTTGTTTTGTTCCCTATCCCTTAACACACTTCGCCGTGAACTAAAACGACTGAACTTCTAGCCCTGTGGTAAAGGTTCTACAATAAATGTTCTTCCTTTTGGTGTCTCCTTCCAGAGAAGAATACTCCGGGATGCTTCTTCAACCAAATTTCTCCTCAGATTTTGGGTGTTCTGAATGAATTGGCTTTTTTTCTGAAATGTAACCAGCCTACTAGAAATCTCTCACGGCGACAACTTTCAGTTTGATTCCATCTTTTACTCCTCATGCACACACACTTGGAGAAATTACTGAAGTCTATTAAGGAAAGAGGAAATACAACCTGGAAGCTAATTGTTCGTATAATCGTGTCAAGATATTGGAGTCCCAGAGAGAAAAAAAGTGGAAAATGGAGTGTGGAGACAGACAGAGCGGTCCAGTGGTTAAAAGTGCAGGACAGTGATCTAGGTTCGAGTCCCTGTTCTGACGTGCACCTCACTGGGTGACCTTGGGCCAGTTAATCTCCCTCAGCTAAACATACCTCACAGGTTTGTTGTGAGGATAAAATGGAGGCGTGGGGAATTATGTGTCCTGCACTAAGCCCACCAGAGGAAGGGTGGGATAAAAATTGGACAGAAGAGAGCAAAATCCTGGAACAGTCTAGAAGCCGAATCAGGAACATCAGCTCATCCCTGTTAGGGAACATTGCCTTTGGAACACCCTCCCGATGAAGCTCACCTGGTACCTACTTTCCTTTCTTTTAGGCACTGGGCTAAAATATGACTTGTTACCAGGGGTCATTTTGTAGAAAAAGAGGTGCAGGAGCTCATTAGCATAACTCATTTGCATATGTCACACCCCCTGACATCACCAGAAGTGTGTCAGAGGGCAACACCCACCGCTCAGGCTCCACTTGACTGTTTTGGATTGCTAGCTATTGGGGGGGGGGAGTGCAGATCTGTCCTCACAGAGGAGGGAGAGCTCGTACCTGAAGGGGGGGGCCTCTCCAACTTACCTGGATACTTCTTGTTCCTCCTGGCCTGACTGAGGCCTGCTGGGAGCAGGAGGTGGGGCTTGTTGCATGTGCCTGCCCCTTGGGCTCCTTACTGCCGGAGCTCCGCTCCTGTGCGCTCCCGCAGGAAATGACCCAGGCTTTTAACTCAGGTGTTTTATCCTTTAAATGTTTTATGCTCTCCTTCTGGCCCAGAGATAATTGGATCTGCATCATTTTAGGATGGTCAGCAGATATTGTATGCTGGTGTTATGCCCTAGCTATGTTTTAATGGTGCTGGTTTGTTGTTTTTTAATGATTGTGTTTAAACAGCTTTGTTATATGTTTTAAGCCACCTCAAGCTGGTCTCTGGAGAGGTGGCATCTAACTTTCCCAATTTTTCTTTCTTCTTGATTCCATAAGATGATACCACAATGATCCCTCTCATGCTTGTTGTTGTCACTGATTCTTCTGTTTCTTTTATGCACCAATGGTACATGATGCGCCAATAGTACTGAAGTCTCCATCCATTTTGATGGGGGAAATCGAGTGTAAGAAAGCAGAAATAGCCTGAAATGGCAGTTTTTGTGGGTTCATTCTCCATAAGGGCCAGCGAAATCAAAATGGAAATCTAGGAAATGAACTAAGAAGCCCACAGAAGATAGTATCACCTTGAATCTTTGCTTGAGATATCTGGCTAGGCCAGGGGTGGCCAAACTGCAGCTCGGGAGCCACATGTGGCTCTTTCACACCTATTGTGCGGATCCTGACAGGGCGGATGGGGAAGTGAAGGGGAGGCATGCCTCCCTGATCGGTCTTCCCTTCCCCAGCCAGTGTTCCTCTCCCTGGGTAGGCTTGAGGTGAGGGGGGGGCAGAGAAAGAAAGCAACTTTAGCTTTAAATGCATTGTCAAAGACCCCCCAGCCAGCTGGCTTGGAGAAAGCATTTGTCTTTTTAATCCCTTCTCCAAGCCAAGCCTGCCAGTGTAGGGGCATGGGGGGGGGGGTCTTGGAGGATGCATATAGACTTAAAGTTGCTTTCTTTCCACCTCTCCCTCCCTCCCCCCATCTATTTGCTTTCTTTCCACTTTCCTCTCTCTCTCCCCCCCCCCTTATGCACAAGAAAGCTTATACCTTGAATTAAACTTTGTTGGTCTTAAAGGTGCCACTGGACTCAAACTTTGTTCTGCTGCTTCAGACCAACACGGCTACCCACCTGAATTCATCTAAAGTTAAATGTGTTCTCCAAGCCCCGCCACACTGGCTCGGAGAAGGCATTTGTCCCTTCTCCAAGCCAAGCTGGCTGGTGTGAGGGCGTGGGGGCATGGGGGTGTTGGAGAACACATTTAAAGTTAAAGTTACTTTCTTTCTACCGCTCCCTTCCTCCCTCCCTCCCCATTTATTTGCTTTCTTTACACCTCTCTCTCTCTCTTTCTCTTTCTCACTCCCTTCTTTCCTCCATCCCCCATCTATTTGCTTTCTTTCCATGTCTTTCTTTCTTTTCACCTTTCTCTCTCTCTTTGTCTCTTCCTTCTTTTCTCTCTCTCTCTCTTCCTTCTTTCCTCCCCCTGCCTTATCTATTTCTTTTCTTTGATTCTTTATTTTTCTCTCTCTTCCTCCCTCCCTCCCCCTCTCCCCTATCTATTTGTTTTCTTTCTCTCTTTCCCCCTTCCTTCATCCCTCCCCTATCTATTTCTTCCTTTCCCTTTTTCTCTTTCTTCCTCCCTCCCTTCCTCTCTCTCTTCCTTCCTTCCCCCTCCCTCCCCCATCTATTTGCTTTTTTTTGTTTCTTTCTCTTTCTCTCTTTCCACCTCTTTCATTCTTTCCACCTCTGACTCTGTTTCTCTGTCTCAGACAAGTTAATATCACCAGCAAACAAATAAATATAATTTGACAAATAAATATAATTGGACAAATAAATATAATTATTAATATATGTTTTACCCCTTTTGTTTTTATTTTTGGCAGTCTCATTTAATGTTAATAAAAAGCAAATTTGCATATTTTCCATTAAAAACGTGTGTGTGATATTTGTTCATGGCTTTCGGCTCTTAAACATCTGACCTTTCTTCTATGTGGCTCTTATGTTAAGCAAGTTTGTTCACCCATGGGCTAGGCTGCGAGAATGTGTGATCTGACAGCCTAATGTACAATTTGGCACCCGTTCATACACATTTGGGGTTTAAATGTGAATGTTGACAGAAGGGTAGGAGAAAATGGGTATTTTCCAACTAGAAAATAAATCATTTTTTAAAAGATTGCATATCTACGGGCCTTTGTTAGGCTCCTGTTTACCTTCCAAATTGTGCTTGCCGTATTTCGTTATCATGAGCTGGTGTTTGTTCTCTCTGCATTGATCCCATATCCAGTTTTCCTGTACTGATAGTAGCTTGGCTACAGTGTTTTCAGAGATACCAAAGCAAGCCAGCACTCGTTCGAAGTCTGCAGAAATACTTGCAGCTGTAGACTCCACTTCGTAGGAACGAAACACCTGGGGATGTCAGGAGAAAGCAAAATAAGTGCTGAGGCATTTCAGTACCTCTCTGTTACAAAGGGGGTGCAATAGCCAATCTGATTTCTTTTTTTAATCATCCAGCTTTGGTTTACCTCCTTTGTGTGGCCATTGATTGTTTCTTTATCATGCACACAAAGTTTTGGTCGGCAGAGTAATTAACACAGGAACGATGCACAATCTGATTGAAGAGTTTCTTTAGGAACTAACATGCTTGATATTAAAAAAAAGAGAAGAGACAGAGATAGGTTCCTAATTACATCTCTACCTGAGAGACATGGTAAAACTGAGTGTGCCACTTCTGAGAAGATGGGGGGAAACTGCCCTAAAACTGCCATCATATGAGCAGTTTGTCGTGACATACTAGCATTACCTGTGTGGATTTAAATGGCTTGATCAGACGATGACATCTGGCTTCCATGGCTCAGTCGTCGGCAGCCCGTCCTGCTCCTCATTAGAACCAGAGTATTCAGGCACCGGGGAAAGTCCAGTAGTAAGGAATGGTAGCACTTCGACTTTGTTTTGTCCAACGTCTGAACTCTCCCAGCACAAAAGGAACCCAGAAGGGAGTGTGAACAGGCACTTCCGGCACATTCATGGGTTGCAGAGCTAGCTAATGGAGTGGTTGTTTGGTTATGCGCATGCACAATGGTGATGTTAAAAAAAACTCCCCCTGGCACAGTGTGTCCCGTGGCTGATATGCAACACTACTGTGGATGCCTGACCACGGGACGGCTGCACAGGTAACCCGCTGCAGAGTGTGCTGCCTGGTTGGTATGTCCCGCAACACTTTAAGTTGATGCAATTAGAGGCACCGCCATATTGTGCCAAGCCGCCAGTGTGACCACAGCCTAAGAGTAGCAATCTGGAGACTGACAACGAATGACAGAGAGAAGCTGCTGTCCTTACTGTCCAATCGAATTGTCTTGTTGCTGCCCCCTTCAGGATCTTCTTCCCTTTGTCTTTGTACACCAGACATTGCGTTTCCCAACAGTTATTATGGTATTTATTGTGAGGGGAAATTGGCACAAAAAAATATTCCAAGAAAAGGGGAAAAAATTGATTCAATCTCTTCATACTTATAGAAGCAGGTAAACAATATTCATGGAGCTGCGGTGGCTCAAGTGGTTAAGACGCTGAACTGCAGGCTGTGGAAGGTCAGTAGTTCAGCAGTTCGAGACCGGGTGCCGCATGATGGAGTGAGCTCCCATCTCTAGTTCCAGCTCCTGCCAACCTAGCAGTTCGAAAGCAAGAAATTGCAAGTAGATAAATAGGGACCACTTCAGTAGGAAGGTAACAGCGTTCCGTGTGCCTTGGTGTTTAGTCATGCCGGCCACATGACCACAGAAACATCTTTGGACAGCACTGGCTCTTCGGCTTTGAAACGGAGATGAGCACCGCAACCCTAGAGTCGGATTCGACTGGCTTTCGAGCAAGGGAACCTTTACCTTTACCTTTAAACAAGATTCAAACACAAAACCAACACAAACAAATTTGAAGCAGCCGCCTTTCAGCGTGTAGAGTCCTGTAGAGTCTTTGAAGGTCTCCGCTAGACACGACTTCTCCTTGCTGCTGACATGGAGGGGAGCTAAAGAGGAACCAGCACTGGGTGGGATCCAAACTAAAATTTCCATTGATGGAAGTGGTGGGGTAATTTCCACCCCTTCCCCCCTTGCTGCCTGCAGACCCTCAATTTGCCCCTCGTGCTATTTCTGAGGGTCCCCGATTCCCACATGAAGCAGCATTTCAGGGAGATCAATCTGCTGCAATGGGGGAGGAAAGGAATGTTCTATGAAGAAGAAGAAGAGGAGGAGGAGGAGGAGATTGGATTCATACCCTGCCCTTCACTACCCGAAAGAGTCTCAGAGCGGCTTACAAACTCCTTTCCCTTCTCCTCCCCACCACAGACACCCTGTGAGGTGGGTGGGGCTGAGAGAGCTCTTTCGAGGACTGCTCTTTTTTTAAAACAGCTCTGACAAAATTATGGCTTGCCCAAGGTCATCCAGCAGGTGAAAGTGGAGGAGTGGGGAATCAAACCCGGTTCTCCCAGATTAGAGTCTGTGCACTTAACCACTACACCAAACTGGCTCCTAATCAGGCAGAAGGGCCTCGTGTGAGAGGAATACAGTCTGGTTCCAACCCGCAGACAACGGCGGAATCATCGTTGGCAATGGCGGCGACGGAGCATCTGGCGGCGGAGGTGAATAACGATGCAGCGGCTGCAGCATGAACGGAGCGATCCCTGGCGGCGAACGGACCATCGTACAACCAGCGGCGGCGGAGGCGAGAGACTGAGGGGCGCCCGATGACGCGCGGCGCCAGACGAGGCGGAGCCTGATTGGACTGAGCCTTGGACCAGGAAGCAGGCGTGAAGTCGGGCGCTTGCGCAGTCCCGCCGGTCGGTAGTTGCTGGGAGGAGTGCCAGAAGAAATCACCGGGAAAAAGAAAGAGCCACGCCGGAGAAACAACGAGGCCCTCCAACTAAGGGTGCTGGTAGGTTTCCCCACCCCTACCATGTGTGTGGCCCAAGTTAGGGAAGAAGGGTTATTAGAACCACTACAAATGTAAACCGCCCAGAGACCCCTAGGGGTTAGGGCGGTATAGCAAATGGAAAGTTAAATCCATTTGAGAGGAAGTCATTCTCCCACTGGCTGATTCTGCCTTGGCTTTCCCTCCGTAGTTTTATGAAACCCACGTTGGAAAAGAAATTCCCTTCTACGTTGCATGCAACTTTCACTTCCTTTGATCATCGGATTTCATGATAGCCTCCACACTCCAAGCCATTCAGGGGTGACTTTGCAGTCAGTACAACGTTGCCCCAAGATATTTGAATGTGGTTTGGGGCGGCACTTTTCCCTCCCAGTTGAGAAAATGTGGAGCGAATGCTCGATGCAGAATCGCGAGAGGTCCATACTATCTCTTCCTACCAGCTGCCATGCCATGAGAAAAGAGGTGTATGTGGATTGGGGGCGATATTACTCCCCTTCATATTGTAGGGGGATGCTGAGAGCTGCCAGAGAACGTCTTTCAAGAGCAGGAAGTGCAAAGTCCAGCTACCTATCCAGTTCCGAGCTCTGAAACCCTGACTCACTGCCACTTTGCAGATCCTCAGGCTGCAATTTAACTCCTGGAAATAATTAACTAGTACTCGTGTGGTTATTATTATTATTTTTTTAAAAAATTGCACGGAGAGCTCCTGAAGTTATCAGGGAGGAATGTTTTGCTTGCTCTCTGACAGTGTCGGACTCGCGCATAATTGACCAAGGGCACAAAATAGGAAGCATTTTGGCAGGGAGACAGCAGGTTGAACAGGAAAAGCCAAACTGGAGTTTGTGGAAACAATGAGCCAGCCATACACCTAAGTTCACCAATTAGCAGCAGATGGGTGTACCTCCAGATTGCTTAGATGACAAACGGGGTGGAACAACCACTCTTCTCAGAAGTGATTCATAATTGAATGAAGGTGGTACTAAATTATCTGTCTCTGCAGGTGTCGAGTCTGCTTTCGATGACAGATAACTGCATCACCCAATCGCTTACTCATCCACCAATACTCTTCACACTGGGTTCTGCTGCTACTGAATTCCAGTGTAACTAGAAGAATTCCTAAAAATCCCAGTATTTGAGAATGTTTCCATTCCCCATTTTGTCACCTGTGGAATGGTGAAATAAAAATTTATTCAAACATATTCAAACTAGGAATAATGCCCATTGTGGGGGGGAAATACAATGAGCTCTAGAAAGAGGGTGGGGTCAATGATTTTGTATCTTGCAGGCAGAGTAAACACAGATAAATGTTTTGCAGTGTAAAGAACTAATGTGGGAGTGAAGAACAGCATACCTTATGGTAGTAGAGAGTAATTGTTGCCCGTGGTCCTGGACACATTTGACAGTTTCAGAGTGTGGTGTCTGTGGCAGTGTACCTGTCTGAGGTCCCAGCCCTCCTCAAACCCACCCTCTCCAGGCTCCACACCTCAAATCTCCAGGAATTTCCATACCTAAAGTTGGCAACTTTATCTCCTCCCCTCTCAGCAGCCTCTTCCTAGGCAAAGTTCTGTCTTTCTTGTTAGTGGGGAGCAAAGAAGATTACTTCATTCTCCTCTTCCACTTTGTGATCTGTACAGCAGCCCTGCAAGGTAGGTTAGGCAGAAAGTCTGTGGCTGGTCCGAAATCACCCAGGCAGCTTCCATAGGGCGGCTCCTGTTGAACACGAGCAAGCAGCAAGGGCTAGTGAAGTAATGCCAGTCAGGAGGCATGAAGTCACCCTGAGAGTGCTGGCAGGCCTAGGGTTGCCAACAAAGACAGATTGATGTAAAGGAGGATGGAAAAGTCTCCATATCTCTATTTTGCCTTAAATTGGTTTTGATGCTACCAGAGCGAGAAAATGCCAGAGGCTCTGGGTTGGTGCCCCATGGTAAATGCACCAAACAATTCCCAAAGATTTTCCAAAACACTACTCTGTCCATATTCATTTTCTGCACTCACAGCATCCCCTGCCAAAACGCAACACACCCCCAGCACTTTGAATTAGCACCAGAGCTTTAAGAGCTCTCCAGCTGTCACCTGGAGATTGGCAACAATGGTTTTCCAGGAAGAAATGGCTTGTTTGGAGGGTGGGATCTATGGAATTGTATCTGTCTGAGGTCCCCCTTTTCTTCCTCCTCAGATCTCACCCTCAGCAGGCTTCATCCCTAAAATATCCTGAAGTTTCCAACCTGGAGTTGGCAACCCTATGTCCTTTGCAGGCAATCATTAGCCTACCTTTATCTGCCTGTCTGTCTTCAGGTTTATATCTCCTCCCCCCCCCCTGCAGTCTCTACCTAGGGAAAGGTCAGTCTTCCCCTGCAATGGGAACCAAAGCAGCTGACATCATTCTTCTCTCCCCAGTATGATCTGCACAACAACCCTTTGAGGTATGTTAAGGTTGAAAGTCTGTGAATGGTCCATAATCCCCCAGGCAGCTTTTATAACATGAACCTGGGACCTGCACACCATCCTCTGAAGCGCTATCAGGTACATATCAGTGGCAGTAATAGGGTGACTGCTGGCACCTTTTCCTATCATTTTTTGCCTTGTGGTATTCTGCTTGTGATGTGGTCTGTCTTTTTTGTGGTGTGACATGGTTGTGTTTGTTTCTTTTGAAGGGGAAGTGATGTGTTGTGGGTGAGGACATATTTTACCTCAGGATACACCAGGTCGCATATGCAACTAACAGTTCTAAGTGTCTCGGGGGGGGGGAGTTTGAGGTGCAGAATGGAGTGAGATCCAATCAGCTTCTATTTGCAAATGACCTTGAAACACTGGCCCAATCAGAGAAGAGTGGCCTAGGCTGCAGTGGGTGGGAGGGAAGAGCAGACCCAGCACCCATCCAGTGCCAACTGATTACTCTTGAGTGACAGTTCATCTGCCAACGGGTGATATGATACTCTTCAAGGGCCAATGGGAGAGCCTGGAATCATGAATAAATTACTAAACCTTCTTACAGGGGCTACTGTAAGGTCTTGGAGGATTGGCTACATTAGGGGTGTGTCACCTAATATGCAAAGGAGTTCCTGCTACAAAAAGAGGCCTGCTAGTAGCAAACCTATTGTAAAAGGACTACAATGAGCGCTTGCAAGATCGCGGCCTCACCCTCCTCCTTGGCCGCATTCTTGTCTATGGTGCCGGTCCTTGTCTGCACGCAGCCCACCCTGCCACTTTCAGCCATCCGCAGGCGGCAGCGACCGGTGCAATGGTGGCATGTTCAGCCTCGGCCTCCTTACCCTGCAGCCACTGGATCGTTGGGCCTCTCTGTTGTCTCGCAGCACACTGAGGGCGAGAGGCTGGGCACCACTTCCATGGGCTCACCGCCCGGCCGGTTCACTGCAACCTGGCACGGCCAATGACAACCGCTGCAGAGTTGTCATGTTCAGCCTCCAAAGCCTCTGCCTGCCAGAGTATTAGAGGACAGCCCTCGCCAGAGGTGCCTGCGTGGAACTCTCTGTGCCCAGGGAAGCGGCAGTGGGTGAAAGTCAACCCTCCCGTATCGGTCTGCCTCGTCTCCAGCAGACTCGACTTTCAGACTTGTCTCCCTGTGACACTGAAGGGTCTCCATGGCCAGACAGCTGTCTCCCTCCCTCCCTGGCTGCTTTCCCTCACTAAAATACAAGCCTTAACCCGGAACTGAGAGGATCCATCCCATTTGCCGGCTCCCTCCAGAATGAGCCCAAGATGCTGGGCACTGGCTCTGTGGGAGGGGCTGAGGCAATGCAGCGAGGCAATGCAGCCAGGGGATTGGCACATCTCCTGAGTGGCAGATCAGGGACCCAATTGATTTGGGACTGTGTGGAACGTTGAGGAAAGAGTCACCCGAAAACACAATTATATATAAGGAGAGATAAGATTCAATGAGCCCTATTTTGGGAGGGTGGTCTAAAAATCCAATAAATAAATAAATAAATAAATAAATACACAGAACGTCTGGAACAATGGCTGACTCCAATGTTCATTCAGCAAAGTGCAGACGAAGGGCATAAAAGTAGGTATTCAAATCTGTATCCGGATAAGGACTTTCGGTTCAAATGTCCCCCAGAAACTCTATGAAGAACAGTGGGAGGCTAGAGGAACAAAATGCCTACACAGTGGTGATCAAATGGTAATGTAATAGGATCAAAGGTCTGTGGTCTGACTATGTAGGTGCCAGAGAAAGGCAGGCAATTAGGCTCAAAAACCTGCAGGTTCCTGCATCCTGCTTACTAGTTGCGATCAGGGAGCTGATCGTTTATAGAATTCTTTGTATATGTCCAAATGAATTTGGATATGTCCATCTGATTAGACTGCATTCTCACAAGTGCTCCCCCCCACCCCCGTCTGCCACTGCAGGTTAAAAGGGAGAAAGTCTACTTAAGATTTTTGAGTTGAGACTTACTACTTGGATGTGTCTGGTACCCATGAAGCAGCTACTCTTGTGATTACTTCACAAACAGGTGCTACTGACTTCAACTTATTCTTTATTTGACAAGTAGATTTGAATGGGATAGCCATATTTGAGATCAGGGCCCTGCAAGACTTATTACAGTTTCACAGGGTCTATAAAATGAAGTTGTTTCGCCAGGCCTTTGGTTGAGGCAACAGACGCCCAACCATCTGGCCTCCCTTGCTGAAAACTGTCGTACTATATCTGCCCATTCCATCTTTGTTCTGTCTTCCAGTTAGGATTGCTGGAACTATATGAATGAATGCATCAGTTTGCCTTTTTTAAAATGTTTTAAACAGTTTATTGTATTGTTATAATTGGTTTTAATTGGTTTGTAACTTCTTTGTTGTTAGCCACCCTGAGCCCGCTCATGGGGAGGGCGGGATATGAATTAAACAAAATAAATAAATAAATAAAATCTTGGTGTGTTATAACAAAATAAAAAAGAACTACAGAGTGACAATATTTATTTCACATAAGCTTTCGTGAGTCACAGCTCACTTCCTCCGATCCGAGCTGTGACTCACAAATGCTCATACCGAATTAAAAAGTAATTGGTGTTTCAATCTTCTGTCACCTTAAAACTTTTGATTGCTATGGTGCCTAATAGATATTGGCTACAGTATATCAAACCTTGGGTGCTGATTATTTTTTGAGGCTTACCTACTATCGGAGAGTTTGTTCTATTGTTGATCGGGTGCCCGGCTTTGAATGATTATAATAGGACTAGCAGTAAAGCCCGTTGTGGAAATAAATACAACGAGATCTAGAAAGAGGCTCTGGGGGAGTGCTCTGGCTTTGGGCAAACAGTGTCATTTTGCTGTGGTGGCCTCAGCAGGGTATAATGGCAGAGTCCACTGTTTTCTCCAGAGGAACTGATCTCTGCTCCCTGAAGAGAGTTGTAATTTTGAGTGATCTGTAGCCCTCATCTGGAAATTGGCAACAATTGTTACCCAGGATGAAATGGCTGGTTTGGAGGGTGGAGTCTATGGCATTCTACCTGTCTGATGTCCCACCCCTCCGCAAACCCCACCATCTCCAGGCTCCACCCCTCAAATCCCCAGGAATTTGCCAGCCTGGAGTTGGCAACCCCATCTCCTTCGCAGCTAACCATCAACCTACCATTATCTGCCCCTTTGACTTCAGCTGACTTCCGCCCTCCCTTCTGCAGAGCAATTGTAATTTTGAGTGGTCTCCAGCCCTCACCTGGAGATTGGCAACAATGATTCCCCATGAGGGACTGAGTGGTTTGGAGGGTGGAGTCTATGGCATTGTACCTGTCTGAGGTCCCACCCCTCCTCAAATTTCACCCTCTTCAGGCTCCATCCCTCAAATCTCCAGGAATTTCCCATCGGGAGTTGGCAACCCTATCAGGATTGGCCCCAATATGTTTTCTCCCAAAGGGCAAAGTAGGTGACTGGACCAAACTTAGTTGCCTACCAACAGGCACTGAGGGGAAAGTAGGGTTGCCAGCTATAAGGAGGGAAATACCTGGAGT